CCTGGCTCTGCCTCCCGAGTGCTGGGATTAAAGGCGTGCGCCACCACCGCCCGGCTGAAAACTATCTTTTGATGTCTTTCAAACTTATACACTTTACACCTCTTTAGTGAGTTTCTATCCTGAATTTGTTAACAAGGAAAACTATAACTAAATCTATCTAATCTTCAACTCCCTCAGAGACTTAAGAAGGAAATATTACTGAGTTAAGCAGGAAGTACAAACAAGCAACTTCCAAAAAATATGAGAAATGATAGAAACAGTTGGCTGCCTGGACAGTCACCTGAAATCTCTCTGCAACATTGAGGTATCCATCTTCAGCCTACAGGCCTAGCATATCTGACAGACTCATCTGTGGAGCTGTAAAGCAGGATTTTCTAAAGGGCTTTCCTACCTTGTCTTGGCAAGGTGCAACAGTCCTTTCTTTTGTGTCCTGCTTGTCCATTTTGGACAGTATACTGTCAGCAGTTGAGGTAAGGACATTTTTTCTTGCCCAGTGGCTAACTTGCCACAATGAAAGTAAACTCCATATGGAGTTTCTTCAATGCCCATCATCTTCTCTGAAGTAGATTGGTGCTTCCAGGAGCAGACATGTCTCATTGTAATAAAAAAATAGAATCTATGTTATTAAAATATCTTAAATGCCATATTCTGTAGATCTCTGAAGTGTTTGAAAATGACCTGTCTATCCAAATTATATCTCTGTTTGACCTTGAAAACATACCTAATATGACTATATGTTTGATTGTAATGACCAACTACTAACTTGCATTTCTTTATATCCTAATTCATTTGTCATAATAACTTTCAAGGACTAGAAATTTTATTATGTTGTTAAATGAGTTGCATAGGTACAATACCTTGAACAAGATGAGAAATGTATGCACAGTATGTTCTAACAAAAATAATCTCAAATTTGTATACAATATACAAAAATCCAATCCAATGTAAAATATTTAAAACAAGTAGTTGCTTTCTAAAAGTAGATTCAATAATCTACCTTTTATCTTATGTATATTCTCTTTTTTTCCTTTTTCTTTTTTTTTCAAACAAGATCCCTAAATCTAATCTCCTTTTTTAAGCCTTTTTC